TCATTTATATGGATTCTAACCTATTGTTACGAAAACAAACTATATAATAACTTTTTTTGTTTAAAAAGGGGTTTAAATATTATTTTTTTCATATACTTTTAGTTTTGATTCGTTTTTGTAGTTTTAAAATATTCATTTAATATATGTACTTTCAATTTTATTCATTTTAGTTTGTGTACTTCCAATGTCGCCTTTGTTTTGGTTTTTATATTTTAAAAAGAGACCAATTTAGTCTTCTATTTGCAAAATTTTAACAAAAATCTTATACATAATTGAAATCATTTATGACTACTTTAATGAGTGAAGTGTCATGTTAAAATTATGATAGAATTAAATTAGATAAAAATAAAAATAAAGAGACAAAAATGAACTGTTTTTAATAGTACAAAGCTCAAAATGAATATTTCTAAAGTACATGAATTAAAATAAACTAAAATRAACAAAAGTTTGAAGTATAAGGAACAAAATGGATGTTTTGGAAGTACATGGCYTATAATGAATCAAAGTAAAAAATACAGAAAGTAGTTGTAATAAAAAAATTGTAATACCTTTAATTTTTCATTATTTACCCACACAGGAAGGGTTCATTTTATTTGTATTTAGTTGAACAACAAGAGCGGAACCTTCTACGTTTTGGTCAAGAATATGTCTTATATATAATTAATCAATTGAGCTATGTATTCTCCAATTGGTTTGATTTTAATTCATTTCTGTGTTTAATATTAGGGTTTTTTTTTTAAATGTAAGCGGAGATTCTAACTTCATATTTTGATTGAGAATATATATCTTGGTAGGTCAAACTACGTTAATTTTAGCATATTTAATATTTGGGTTGATTTTGTCTTTTTGGTATAATTCAATTAACATATATGATTACATGAAGAATACGATACATTAATACATAATTTGAAGGTTAATTGTGTTTTTTTGAAGGTTGAATTTTGACAAATTTTTTTCCTTATTATAATGATTATATTCATTTGAAGACAATGACACAATGCACACATCGTGGCATTTGACTAATCTCATTACCATTAATGCTTGTTTTTGGCTTTTACTTAATTACTGGAGACAAAATTAAATCTGTACAAATGCATGAATCATTTTTACAAATTCAGAACTCTTCTTTATTACTATATTGCCTAGTCATTAGTTTTACATTAATAAGAAATGATTTTTTTGTTTCCTAAATACAACGTCAAATCTTCTCTTGATTCCAAAAATATATTGTCTCAATCAAATTTTATATATCACTTCAAAAATTAATATATGATGTAGATTATCTAATTCATATAATATAATTTTTGTCGGTAACGTGCGTCTTCTCAATCTATAATTTRATATCGTAAAAATTCTCACTTTTTCAATTATAGTAAAGTAAAGACAATCATGTGATCAAATGAATCTCATATATTGATACGATAATACAAAGAAAAAAGAGAGAAGGAAAAATACCATAGAAATGTGGTGAAAAAATTAGTGTCGAGAACGAAAACATTAGATTAGTGTGTTAAATTAATTAAAATGTAAGAGATATATCTACCATAMATATTGATTAGTACTCGATTACAAAAGAGATTATTATTACCGTTCGTATGAGTAACAAGTTAAAAAACGCCATCAAACTTCTTTGGTTAACAAATACAAATAAAATATAAATATAGATAACTAATGTTTATTTAGGTTTGATTATTTCTTATTTTATATTGTATCCTTGTTGAAAAATAATAAGGATAATAATTTCATGGTGCCTATGAGATCTTTGGTTTTGGTCAGATTTTTTCTTCAATTGAATCATTCTAATAAACCAAAATTCTTTCCATTATTATTGGCTTTTTTTTTTCCTTCTAATAAGATTGTACACCCATTTCTCACAGACGACATGACATGTATAAAATGACTTACTTTTATTGTCAAAGGTTCACTTTAATCAGTGCAGGCACATTTTTCATCCAAAAACGACATTACATTAGCTAGCCTAGCTGGGGAACCAACTTTATTAATTTCTTCTAACTTTTCAATTTTTCATATTTTGCTAATCACAGGTACATTTAAGGAAAAAAGCCACAAAAAAAAAAAGAAAAAAGTTTGCTGAACTGACTTCAATTTCAAAAATTAAAAAAAAATGTTTATATCAACTTTAGGTTTCTTAAATTTAGTTRGAGTTTTATAAACGTTCTAAGGAGTATGTTAGAAAATGAAAATTGTTATCGATACATATATATGTTTCAAAACAAGCTTAAATGATTCATTTCAAGAAAACATATGAATGATTAAAAACCAATAATGAAATATACATCTCAAATAATAAAAACTACAATAAGACAGATTTTATTATTTTTTTTARTACAACATGTGGGGTGGAAGATCGAATTCACAATCTTTTAGTTTGAGATATAGCTTAATTATAGCTTTGACAAGTTTTTATGGTTTTTGGTATTAGAAGTCTAAACATTTTAATATAGTTGGTCAATAAGTATTTTAGTAATTCCTTCRAACATGGCAAGAATAATTCAACTAATTTAAAACGATTAAAGACCAATAACAAAAAATATACCTCTCAAATAATAGAAACTACAATAAGATAGATYTTATAATTTTTTTAGTACAATGTGTGGGATAGATGRTCGAACTCACAATCCTCTTAATTTGAAATATATGTCAATTATAATTATGTCGTTTTGACAAGTTTTTTTATGGTTTTTAGTGTTAGAAGTCTAAATATTTTAATGGAGTTGGTCRATAAGTATTTTAATAATTCATTCCAACATTGCAAGTATAATTCAACTAATTAAAACATATATATTTCAATAAATCTGAAATTCCAATCTCCACCGCACGTCTGAACTCAACAAAAAAATAAATAAATAAATGCTCTTAAAAAAAATAAAAGGTTTTTAGCCCAACATGAGGTGAAACATATACATTGTTCAAGAAATATGAAAATGTACCTTAACATATCTGTTTAGGTTAGGTTTGGTATGTCGAAAATAAAAATAATAAAAAAAAGGTTAGGTTTGGTAACAAAGTAAGAATATTTTTTTTTTTTTTTTTTAAGTATAGTGGAGGACGGTGATTTGGGGAAAAGCAAAGATTTGACTTGTTCTTAACCCTTTTATTGACTTGGATATGGGAAAAGAAAGATTTCTGTTCTTCCAAATCAAATCCATCTATTCTTTTTAACCTTTAAATGTTCTAAGAGAGAGAGAAACACAGTAAAACAAATATTTTTTTTATATATTTTAAAAAATTAGAAAGTTGTCAAATTTTTGTTAACAATCTAACGGAACAATAGGTGTGTACTAGCAAGCACCTAATAGGTTTTTTTTTTCTTTTTTTAATTATTGTCTTTTTGGTTCTCTATGAGTAATTTGGATTCCAATTTGTGATCCTTCAAGTTGTGCAATTTGATCATTATGGAATTTTCTTCTTTGGTGCAATCTCTCTTTCTCAGGCAACTAAGTCATCTCTTTCACACACACCCAACCAATTTTTCATAATTTCTTCACAAAATCATCCAATCCCATGGCTGTATTTGTAACGAATAATTTATTAAAGAATCAATTCCTATATGTCTCTAACTGCTTCTACATAAAGTTTAAGCAAAAGCCTGCCAAGGGGACGAATTTGAATAAGAATCTTCAAAATCATGTCACAAAATTCAATCAAACATATTTTTACTTTTTTTTTCTTCTTTTTTGGGATATAAAGGTAATTGGGATTAAGAAATTCCAACCCTTTATTGATTCTTTACACCAACTAGACCATTTAAGGTTTAACAACAATAGACATATAYTTTAGTTTTCAAATAAAGAATCGGTATCCTAGTTTTGAGGTTCAATAATAAGATTCGCTACAACCATGGTATAGATAACAAAGTCAATATCCATGGTTATAACTTCAAAAAGTCTACTCAATGRTTTATTATTTGATTGCGTGATCGATCAACTAATATGAAATTTATAGTTCGCATATTAATTTTAAAAACGTGTTAATATATGCTTAATATTGTATAAGGTACGCCTAATTACCTATAGCTTCATTTCTCTCTAAAAAAAGAAAGAAACAAACAATAAACTAACTATAGCTTCACTATATAGACAAMAAAGTGATCATAAATCATTAATCTTAACTTGAAAAATGTCCAACTCTATGGGTTACTCGGATTACGCTGATGAGTCAACTAATAAATGTGTTATACAACAAAATTTGTAGTACTTATATTAATTTAAGAAGTGGTATGAATTAGGTTTGGTGTTAATATGCTTAATATTGTATTAGGTACATGTAACTAACAATAGGTCCATAGTTAAAACATTTTCTAAATTTGAAGGTTTTTAATTATTGATGTTAAATTCGTTGAACTCAAATTATTAAAATATATATATATATATATATATAYATATCTAAAATTTAGTATGAACAGAACAAGAAATAGACAATTAACAACCAYGTAGTAAAAACATTGACAACGTATTTGAATACAATCCATAAAAATGGAAGCTCTCAATCGCATCAACTCTAATTAATGACATGACGAGGATGCTATTTTGTTTTTTAAGATTAGAACTTTGATATAAAATGAGCATACATAATTAATTAAATTAGAGAGGTGGGGTTTAGAATATTAATCTAATTAGTGTAGCGCGAACCAATGGGGTACGGTGCTACCAAAATTTGTGGCACAGAAGATGTTGAGAAAGTTGCAGAACTTTTGAGAAATGCCTAAAATAATGATAGTATCAAGCATAATACCAAGGGGGGTGAGAGGAGAGGGTATAATTTTATTTTTATTTATTTTTTTTAATTTTTGGGTTGATGGGTCAAAGAAAAGGGTAGCCCAAGAGAGGAATAAAAAAATCTAGATTATTTGTGTGTGTTTTTATTTATTTATTGTTTTGGAGGGTTTTGAGTGGAGGGATTTGATGCTTCTATATCTACCTATCTATCTTCTTTAATTAAATTTCTTCTCCATTGATCTCCCCCTTCCTTTATGCCAAGCCAAACCAAGTAAACCCCTTTTTTAACCCTGGCTAGAGAGAGAATCCCAAGCCCTCTCTCTCTCTCTATGGGAGTGCCCAAGAGAGAATTTTGTTTCAATATTTTTAAAATATTCTTGTGGCAACATGGAGTGGAATGGAAGTCATTTTCTCTCTCTCTCTCTCTCTCGCTCTCTCTCTCTCCTCTCCATGGGTAGCCTTTAAATCTCCAACCAGTCTTCCCCTATGCTTTTCAGCTCAATATACCATTCTTGCTCTTACCTTTCTCTAGAAAAACAAAAACGCGGAGATTCAAACGCCCAAGAAAGAAAACATGGTGGGTGTATGCGTCTGTGTCTGATCTGATCTTCTCCAATCACGTCGTATGTGATTATATGTCAATTACTGCTGACTTATACTGTTYGTTTGTGTTTTGTGCGTGAATTCAGGAGAGCCGCAGCAGTGGGAGTAGATGGGAAGGGTATGTGGACTGGAGGAAGAGACCTGCAGAGAGAGGACGGCATGGGGGAATAATTGCAGCCTCCTTCGATTTGGGTATGCACTAAATCTCCAATTAGCTAGTTAGTTAACTTGATTAATTTTAGTAATGAAATGATAGATTACAATTACACGTACAGTTGTGGAGATATTGGAGAACTTGGCGTTTTTGGCAAATGCGAGCAACTTGGTGATGTACTTGTCGCAGTACATGCACTTTTCTCCCTCAAAATCG